TAGAATCATATAATATTAAACTATTACAATAATATGACATAATATACGTATAAACTACGTAGTTTAACGTATATTTATTAACGTATATAGTATACTATGTTAAACAACCGTCATGTGCATTGTGATTAACCACGTGGGCAATTGACCACGGTGACCAATATTATGCAAATATGCTGCAGATCCGTAAGTACCATAATATTAGTATTACTATTATACAAATATTTGTTTTTGTGATATAATTCAAACAAACAGGTAAATATCAATTAGCGTGCAAAACATTATACCTAACTAAATATAAAAAAAAAGTATGTATAAACTTTAAATGGTGTAAAGGAAACGAGTAACGACATATAGACGCCAATAGCAGCTGCAGTTGTAATAAGTAATAATAATAATAATAATAAAACCATTAAAATCCTGTTTTCACAATATATTACACGTGGTTATCTAATAGTTTTTTTTTTTTCTATAATTTCTACTCAAAACTTCCAAACGTGTTAGGGAAACTCGATTAATTCTCGAGTTCTTATATTAAAACACTCACCAAAACACGCAAACCATACTTATATTGGTATTCTTCGAATATAACTCAAAATGCAATAATTGTCCTAAGTCCAATAAACACGTTTTTCCATTATGTACGAGTACGGCTATTTTTTAAGGGGCAAAACATTGGCAATATACACGCATAACATGATGGTAAAATGTAAAAAGTGGTTATTGTATTACTTATATTACGGGCTTTACAAGAAAAACTATCCAAAGTTCAAGATGTACTTTTGTAAATTTGTAAAATTGTTGTAAAATATTACGATCTTTGAATTTAAATTCATTTACTTGGAGTATAATTGTACATTTCTCGTATGCTCAGAATCTAAAATATTTAAACATAAACTTCACAACTTTTACCAAAAAAGATTTGCATAATACTGTTTAGTATTTGCTCGTGTCTCTCAAACATATTTCATTCACGTATTATAGTTTGAAATTGACATTCGAAAATTGTAGTGTTTATACATAGGTAACATAACAAATCCATAGTTTAGTGTAATTAAATATCAAATTAATATAACATCGTAATTTTGAAACGGTATGGGTACCTGTTTACTCCAATAAGGTACCAGTGTGGTTTGCTAATAATTTTATCATCTAAATCATAAATGTGAAAGTATTTATGGTAAATATTATGAACGAAAATAGTAGACAAACGAAAGTAGTTAAAATGGGTAAAAGTATATAGAAAATTGTGGGTGAAAGTGAAATAAAATGTATACAAATTTAAGTATAGAATATAAAAAAATATTTTGTATTACAATATAGGGATGTAAAATGGTGTTATAACACTTAATTAAGTATCCCAAAAAAAAATTGAATTTAATTTGTTTATTATTATTTACAAAATACCTATACCTGTTTATAAATGAGTACAATTATTACTATAATAATAATTCGTTTTTTTTTTTTTTTTTTTTTTTTTTTTGAAATGTCTTATTCCAATAAATCTGTTTTCCTCCATTATTAAAATGCTCATATTTTAATTATAAACAGACATTTATATCTATTACACATTATAAATCATCCGTTGTAAATAGATAACAAAAAAAACAAAAACAATAGAAATATTAAGAAAGATGACGCCGAATTATCATGCATTATTATTGAGCTATTCTAAAACTATCTATAACGATGTATAGACGTATAGACATCATGCTGTTTTCAACAAAAAGCAACAGTGCAGCAGTAGCCAAATAGCTGGCAATAAGTGAATACTAATGTTATAATATTAACGTTGAACACGTCTATAATATTATTTTCAATGTATGATTAGAAATTATTGATAAAGTTACTCGAAAAAAGGGTTTTCAGATTACGAATTCGTGTGTTCACGAGAACTAAATTTATCCAATACGTATGCAAATTGAATATGAAGGCGAGTCCAAACAATTTCAAATCGATTCGCACGTGTTTGATGACGACAGATCTCCTTCGAAGAATATATTATTATTACCTTCGTCGCGGCCCTTTATAATTCAAAACGTTCGAGCGTACAAAAGTGAAGTTTACAATACGCTTAATGGCATGCAAAACCGCACATCGCAACAAAACACAATATTTTTTTTTATATATAACATCCAATTAATTTTAAAATGACCCTGAAGTATTTCCATGACGCGTAAGAAACACGCACAGAATATGCAGACTTTTTTCTGAGAATAATATGACTGATTTGACATTTTTGGTTTCATCATATCGTTTATTCAAAATACTTTTTTTTTTTTTAGACTTTAAAATGGTAAACTACTCATACTCATATCTAAAAATTTGAATTTCGGAAAACCGGAATTTAATAACAGTTTTATACTACGTAATTTATTCGATTCGCCCGGTTATATACAAATTAACACCGGAACGTTATAATCCCAAACACGCGTCACTGGACAAAGGTTGTCAAGTTAATGTTAATGCTGATTTTATGCGACGTATTTTATGGTTTGAACTCCGTCGCGCTAAGTCTAACGCGCGTTTAAAAGGTATAGTAAACAATTTTTGAAAAGTACGAAACGAAGTACGAACCAAGTTCTGTGTTTGTCGGAAACGTTCATTTTAATATAATACGTGCACTAAAATAACCAAGTCCAGAGAGAACTCTTCCTGAAATTGTCGTACGCGATAAAATAATAATAATTCATTTTTTCGGCCAAGTTATAATTATACATTTTTTTTTTTATATGTGCACAAAATATCGTCTCCGTCTTATCAAATTATGGTATTATAACTAAACGTTTTTAATAGGTATGCTCCTTGGAATCTGTCAGTTTCGGTTCGTTAGTTTTATCGTCTCTACCTACTTAACATTACGTATTATTAGTGTTTATATTTTCCCTTATATTACTGTGATTCGTTGTTTTAAGTATTATGACTTGACATTTATTTTTATATACGTGCGTTCGTGTCATATTTGCCATTATTATACATAGGTAATAATAATACACTTACATGCGCAATAAGTTTGAAAAATATTCACCAATAATTTTTTTATTTTTTTTATATGAGAGCTTAAAATATTATTAAATAGTTCAAAATTTCGAAAACGGTGATGATAATCCGATATCCGGTTAAAATAATTGTGCTTGAATACAACGATACTACAGTACCGCTTAAAAATGTGCAAAATATACAACATAATAATACAATTAATTCCAAATCGATAATCCTATTCAAAAATGTTAGAATTTTACGTTAAAAAAAAAAAAAAAAAATGAACAGATATTTATTCGATTTATTGTTATTTTTTTACTAAAGCAATAAAACCTCAGCATCAATGGTTATTGGACTGACAGTAACTTAAATTATAAAATTTGATACACATGTTATGATACGTTATTTAAACTATGGTGTAGTTCATAATAAACAGACTGTTTTAGATATTTAATCAAATTACGAATTGCGTTTGGATCCGGACTAAGTATTCGGACCAAGAGTCAATTTTATTCTACTAATACACACTATCAATGTCTACAGTATACACACGAATATAATACCTATGTGGCCATGTGTATTATCAATGCACATACGTTTTTCGATTACGGTGTAGGAATATTCAGTTGTTCGTTAATATCATTATTGTATATAGTTATATAACATCAGGTGATAAAAATGCATAATATTACCTATCTGGAAACGTTTAAAACTCATAATATTCATTGTCATTTACATAAAAAAAAAAAAAAAATACCTTCATACAAAACTTGTTTCGTCCATATTATGTGGAATATGGACGGGATGTGATGCCTATGAGTATATAATAATATAAGGTATATAGCTTAAAAAATACTTATAGAAAAATTAAAATATGTCGAAACTGCTTAAAAACAACTTATATATTATAATAGCGAGTCGTATCTAATATGAATATATTATATTACCTGAAAAAAACTTCTGGAAAATTATAATATATGACGGTGAAAACCGCACGATGAATAATTATTTTTAATAATTCGTTTAAAAATTGATATTTATCCATCACAATCTGTACAGAATTAATTTTCCGTATATTTTTTAATGCACATTTAAAATAATTATATGGTATACAATTACGACATGTTTTTGAACGCAAAGCGTATACGTGTAACACAGTGACTACGTTGATGTGCAAGTTACACGTATAATATTCGAATAACTCGTAATATTGTTTTTCAACGTTTCGATTATTAGCAAATTCCATAAATTTATGTAACAATATTATTATTTATTGAAACCGGAAATCGAAACGTTTTGTCAATTAATCTAAATTTTTAGACGTAATGTTAATGTACTTGACCGCAATCTAAATTTATTTTCGTTTATTCAATAGTGGTTGGCCGGGCATATTATAGTATAAGCAAATTAACTGTTTAAAAGTTATAACGTCTCAATAGACATTTAATTTATACTGTATATTATGTGAACAAACATATTATATATGGGTAAATGTCATACGGATATGCGAATTCGTTTACGGTCGTTTATTTTTTTTTATTTTTATTACGCGCGAAGCACTTATTACGATTCGCATAAAAATAAAACGTGTACAATATTTTTGACTAAATATCTAAACCGAATAGATTATTTTTGAAGTTGTACACAATTACACGAGAATTGAAAATAAAAAAGTCCTACCTGATAATATTTTGATCTTGCAAATTAGATACGATCGAATCGATATCAAATGCAAACGCAATGATACGTTTTGATAATGTCGACCGTTGAAATACGCCCGTTATCATAATAATAATATATTATAATTCGCGAAAATAACATATTTTGATTTTACTTATGATCACCAGACAGTGGCGTGTCGAAGGAGATAATCGATAGACGGCCGTTTCTGTTTTGTTTTGTTTTTTTTTTTTTTTTGTCAAGAGATTTATACGGACATGGAGAATTATATGAGAATTTTTAAGACAACGATAAAAACTCAGTGTTAAATCTCCATGCATTTCAGTCATTAGGTAGATCGTGGGTTCGTCGGTAGGTAGGTACACAGATATCGGAATAATATTCTCGCCTCTGAAAATATCTGAGTTGGCTACGCCACTGTTACCACAGCTACATATCAATTGTACCGAGACAAAAGAGCGCGAGGATCTTAGCATCTGGGTGACGATTGACGTATGACCGAAGACACGAAGTGTCTCCTGACTTTAGTGCATCGTCCGAACGGCGCGTATAGTATTACGGTGTGACTATTGTTATAAGCGTATTGTAGGGATTGAGCGCCGAAAGTGGAAAATATAATATGCATGCAAAAAGACGTTACCGCGTCTCCGCAGACGTACACGAGTAACACGAACGTAAAAATCTACCCGAAACACATAAGAGTGTAATCGTCGGACTACTCGGACTAGTTTATGTGAAAACTATCGTTCATGACATTTCAATCGTAATGATTTTAACCAACCGAAAATCGCATGACCGTTTAAACGGCGAAAATCACTTTGAAAAGAGTTACAAGTGTTCGAATCGTGTACGGCGTTATATGCGTAACATCGAAAACCGTTTTTCCGGTCTACCGAAGACCTAGACAAACGTCGGCTCGGGCCCTTTTGCTTCGAAGCGATCGTTTTAAAGGTCCGAGAGTCGTACCGGACATCGCGGTGCCGGACATCGATGTCGGCCGGCAGCGGGTTAGCCGGTCGACACCCGGCGACGCGGTCCGGTCGAACCTACCGGCGCGCCCGTCCGCGGCCAACAGGCAAAACCTATCGGGTTCACCTACACCCGCGTCCGCGCGTATTGTACGGACACGGTACCCGCGGGACCCCCCCTCTCGACCGCCGGTAATGTAATGTAAAGGCGGTAATGTCAAGGCGTTGCGGTGAAAGTGCGCGCGGGACGCATGCGCGCGCGATTGCGAAACGCGCGCGTACCTCTACCCCCGCGCGCGCCGCCGCCGCCGCCCGTCGCGCACAGCCGCGCGTTACGGTCGGCGGTGTCCGCGGAGTGTCTCCGACGGCGGTGAAAAACGCCCGTCCGCGTCTCCCCCCACCCCCCTCCCCACCCCCCGGTAGCGCGAGCGAAACGGCCGGCCGCCGAGTTCTCCCCCACCCCCCGGTCGCGCCGCGCCCGGCCGGACCGTGTACCCCCACAACGCCGGGCCGACGCGGCGTTACCGTCGCGCTCGCCGTCAACGCGCCCGTATATATTACAATATTACAATGTCGTGGTTATGGCGCAACGGTCGACGCCGCCCGACTATTATAGATTGTGACAGCGCCGACGAGTTATACACCGGCAGTGTTTGGTCTGCGTCGCTCATTACACGAACCCACACGCAGTAGCGATGACGGGAAAAGCAACTCTGGCCGTCGCGCTCTTGTGCTTCTTGCAGGCCTTTGACAACTGTGAGTATAACGTCCGCATATATAATAATAATACACGTACACGCCGATAGTAATAGCGCACGCGCGCAACATTGTTTCGCCGTTATTATCGTTATTGTTATTGTTGTTGTTGTTGTTGCTGTTGTTGTTGTTGTTGTTATTATTATCGTTACGATGTCGCCTGTCGCGCGGCGCGGGGTAGATGCGCGGTTGTCGTGCGTTTTTTTCACGCTCCGAACGAAAAACGAAAAAAACGTCGGACGTTTACGATGTTATAGGAGGAACACGTTGTTGTTGTAGCGAATAGTCCGTAATCGAATTTATGCCGTGCGGTTTTTTTAGTCTTTCGCCTGTTCAGTCGAATGACACTTTTGCATACGCGATTCGAACCAGATGAAAATACTTCGAACATTCGAACCGCGTAATATTTAACAAATCTCACCGGGGTTCGACAGAAAAAAAAAACCAAAAAACCGAAAAAACCGCCCCGGTGTTTGTGTAAATATCCTCGGCGCGCGTTACGCGCGCACAACTCTTAAGTTCGGTTTATACAACGCCGGCGATAATATTATCGCGCGTCCAACGGACCAGGTTCGGGGAAACTATGTAAACCGGTTCAGATATTTCTTGAAAACGTGTTTAAAGTCACACCGAGAAAATATGTATTGGTCCCGTCTGTTTCGCGGCGTCCGTCACGGCAATATTGCATTTTTATTTTCGTAAAATACACCGTAAAACAATATTATATTGTAATATCGTACCGTATCGTTTGCCGTTTCGGACAAATGCGTGCGCACAGACAACGAACGAATCCTCCGGCGCGCGTCCAATGTTCATAACGCCCCGTCTGTATTTTGCCGGTGGAAAAAAACAAAAAAAAAAAAAAAACCAAAACGATTTCATAAATTCGCCGTTGCTATGCGGTACCTAATAGTATTGGCAATAATGAACTGCGATCGCGTTGTCGTCCGGTATTCGATCGGCACGCGCGTGTGAAAATCAATAACACTTACAAATCTGTACACCGTAAACCCCTTGGCGAATGCTACGTAATTCCTGTTGCGTGCCGTTTAACGCACGCGCCGCGGCGGTCGCTCGGGAGACGGACTTCCACTTGTACCGGCTTTCGAGTCCGTTTTTAGGCCGCGGCCCGTCTATTATGCGCGTCGCGCGGCATCGAATCCGTCGAAATTTCGTATTCCGCGTTATTAATAATAACCGCGCGTTGTCGTGGTTAGGCGCGCGTGCATCAAACAGAACGGATCCGGGGGATTTTTTCTCTTGTCGCCGTTTTCGATTCGACGGTTATGACGAGTACTACTGTTACTGTTGTTGTCATACGACTGCGTAACGCTCGAAGACAAAAACGTCGCGGCGTGTTTTCGTTACGATTCCGAACACGACTCCGGTCGGGGCGCCACAACCGAACCGAACGCGTGCGAAACCGCACCGCCGCACCGGGCCTACGGTTCAACGACGTGCGGGGCCGCGCCCCGGCGCAAATTTGAAATCGAAAACGCCGCGATTTCCCGGGCGTTCGACGATTCCGGCCGGGCCCGCGATTCACGCGCGCGTGTCATTTGCCGACCGCCGCCCGTGATGTGTCGCGCCCGTCACGTAATCGTTCTCGTTTGTCTGTCGGTCAGTTGCGATTCTCGGCGCACAGCGTTCGTTTCCCTCCGGGACGAATTTCTCCGCCGGACCGCGGGCGTAAAAAACCGCGGCGCGCAATCTTGCGCCGGACCGCGCGCGCGTATCGCAGTTTCTTACGCAGCCGCCGCGAAACGATGTTTTGTATTTCCGGCCGACGGTCTCGTTCGGCTGCGGCTGCTGCTGCTAATAGTAATAATAATAATACACGAACGGGGAACATAATACCGATCGGGTTTGTTCACCTCGCCGTCCGAGAAAGCGGTCCGACCGAAATGACGATTTTTTTTTTTATTTTTTTTTTTTTCTATATAGGTGTATAACAACCACGGCGCGATAATAGCGATAGCGCGCAGGTAGTGGTGGTCGGTAATGTTCGAGTGGGCATTTGGGTGTACCTATGTATACCATAATATTATACATTTTTATGTATATAAACGTACACGCGCGTACGGTGTAATAATGCAAAACGCATTACAACGCGGTCCGTCCGAAGATTTTCTCTTTTCGCCGTTCGCTCGGAAACCCAATTTATACGATTTCCAACGCCTTTTACCGCGTCGCCGCCGGAACAATGGGCACCGCAGCCGCCGCCGCCGCCGCCGCCGACTATGCTCATTATTATTACCGTACGTGACTCGGTCGCGACACGTTCGACGGGCCCGAGCCGCGGGCCCCGACATCGTAATAATAATAATAATATCGGATTGTGCCATTATATTTCGTAGCCGTGTCCGTTTTTGTTCGTAGAAACCGTAATGGGTACCCGTAGCCTAATAATGGCGTGCGGCCGACGCGGAATAGACAAAACCCGAACGCGCCCGCGCGGCGCGTTTATCATCGTACACGCCCGGGGCGCGACTCACGCGCGGGACCCCGAGTAAAGATCTGAGCGTTCGGGGGGGGGAGGAGGAGAGGGGGTAGGGCAATTTTTTTTTTTTTTTTTTACAACGCCAATACAATATAGTGTACCGCCATTGTATACACGTCTGCGATTGGAATCGGGTTCAATAGAATTGTAGTAGAAAGCGAAATCGGAGAAATAATGTGTCTGAGGGGAATAGCTGGACCCCTGGCCCTACCCCCTCTCCTCCACTGGACCCGTCATGCGGGCGGTATTATACGTATTTTACGACACAGCAGCTATAACATAGTGTCCACGGTGTTTGGTTTGTCTATCGAATTTCACATTTTTTCAGGAGAGCAAAAAAAAAAAAAAAGCAGAACAGCGTTTAATGATTTGGAAAACAATAAAATTACTCGTGTACACATAATAAACATAACGCGGTATACGCCTTTTCAACGAATCAGCGTTGATTTAATCACCTATATTTTAAAAGGCCGACTGGATATGTTTCAGTCGACCAAACCGACTTAATTGTCCGTAATTAAATACGCCCTTTTACCAGTTTATGCTCCTTATTTTTCTGATTTTTTTTTTTTTTTTTTGACACTTAAAACGTACTTTTCGATTTTTAGCGGTATGCGCGCCCGTACACGTTATAGGATAGACCAAATAAAAAAAAAATAAATATTTTGTCACGCATCGCACGTAGTTTCTGCGATCGCATGTATGAGCTAGGTGCGGCATAAAGTTATCAGAACTGTTTTTTTTTTTTTTTTTTAATGTATTTTTTCGTTTTCGCGTGATTATTTTTCTACGCGGCACCGACCGTGGGTGATTCAATAATCCATATTTAGCGCGTCGTTTTCTTATTACAGATATAGATTTCAGACATAATAATAATATAATACACGACCTGGGGGGGGGGGGAAATACAGCGTTATCTATACGTTTGACATAAAAAAAGATTGAAATTCGATGGTGAATTGTGTACGCGCGAATACTGCAACGAAAAAATTCTATTCGGTTTCGTTTATCGCGAGCCATCAAGTCAGCTCTGTTTAAAAATAAATCGACTTTCGAGGCTTTCGAACAATAATTCAATTTTATCGTTTTATCTGTATCACAGGCAATGGGTTTATGCAGCCCAGAGAAAAACGTCAAGCCGAAGACTCCGATGATCAGTCGGTAGACGAATTATGTAAAAACCGACCGCCCGACGAATATTTCCGTTTGTCCACCGAGGGCGACTGTAGAGATGTAGTCAGGTAATAATTTGATTATTATTGTATTGTCTCGTAACTGTTGTATGTACAAATAGGTACACCGTTTGTGTCTAACTGAATTGTTATTACAAATTATATTTTATCAGGTAAACGTGTCAATCGTTTGTGTACACCCGCAGTGAAAACATTTTTTTTTTTTTTTTGTAAACAACAATAATACTATAATGTCGGAAACGTTAACAATCATTATAATATAATATAATAAACGTTAAATTTATCGTGACGTGACGTCGTTTTTTTCAATCGATTCACGAATTGTATTTTTGAAAATATTTTCGGTTAACGCAAACATAATTGTACGCGTTAATCCGACGATACGCGAGTTCATTTTTCATAGGTTAAAACGCAAAGACCCACGGACCTGTTGGACGATATTTTATATTGTTTACAACGATTAAATTCACCTGCCCGTCACGCAATAATAATTACACTCGAGTTGGACATTCGAATTTCTTACGCGGTCCAGCGCGAGTTCAAAACGCATTGCACGGGCCCACATATGTAAACTCCCGATTAATGTCCTTATACGCTACGGCTTCGATCTCGGCGCATGAACCTTTATATTTGTTTTATTGGTATGATTGATGCCCACAATAGGTGTGACCAAGCAGGCGAGAACGGCATAACCCGTCTCGCGGGCGTTCGGTGCCCGAATGGATTAGCATTCGATATTGATCGTCAGACTTGCGATTGGAAAACTCGTGTGAAAAATTGTGACAAATTAGATAGTAAGTACAACGGACGTCCCGGAGAAGGTGGTTTACGGACTTTACGCGGTGTACGCATCATTACATACTGTTTTTGTTATGATTTCAAAACAAAAACAAATATTCATTTGGCCAGGGCTTTAGTTTTTAAGTCTGCGCAGCTCGGTACACACACATCCATAAACCATATATACCTATTACGACACTACTACATAATATAATCGCCTCGAATACCATATATTATGCCTTTGCCCATGTTCGTTGTTTTTACTAACAAATATCTAACATAACAATATAAAATAGTTTTATTTGTATATATACATATATATATATATATTTGTATATATACATTTAATGGTGTTTTATTTACGTGAACCTTACATGCATTGCATCTGTTTGTTTTGGCTAAAAATAATTAATTTTCAGCATACCATCGATTGAACGTCGTAAAAAGAATAATAATAATAAATAAAAAAAAGTGAAAACAATTTAAATTTGACAATGTCTTTTTTTTTTTTTTTTAACATAAAAATTGCATGAACGCATTTTGTCCTTCAGGTGCACTAAAGCCGGTATGAAACAAATTACTTGCCCGTCTGGTTTGGCGTTCGACATAGAAAAACAGACGTGTGATTGGAAGGGTAAAGTCACCAATTGTAACCGTTTGGACAGTAAGTGGCGATATCACTGAATTAGAGGTGAAGGATGAGAGTGTGAATTGTACATTACAAAAAAAAAAAAAAAAAAAAAAAACAAAAAAAAAATTAACGTATTTAATGTCTATATATATATATATATATATATATATATATTATAATGTGAATGTATGTTATATACCTACCAAAGAAAACAAGTTGAGTAGTTTGAAAGACCTGTGAGCCAAACACAGGTAGGCTTTTTTAGAATTAATCCTTGTGTTTTGTAACAAAAAAAAAAAAAACACATCTAGCTTTAGTGTTACAGGTAACTGCACTATCTTTAAATTTAACATTTTTGAGCTTGCTTCTTATTCATAATAACTTTGCATGATCACTACAACTATTTAGTTCTAATCTTTGTAGAAGTTTCGATAGAAAAAATTAATAACTGTTTTAACAATAACACGTGCACACATTTTTTTGATACGTAATTACTGCATTGTGTACAATACTTACATGTAAATCGTTATTGAATTAAAATAATATTTTATCAAAGATATATATATATATATATACTTATGGAAACACATTTAATAATAATTCAGTATAATTTTTTCTAAAAAAAATTTCAAGTTTTGAAAAAAAATTGCCAAACTTGAACTGAACTGACTACTTATAAATATAATAACGTTAAAAATAGGTCGATTTCTTGTTTTTAAATATTATTTTGCAATGTTTAATATTGTCATATTCGTGTTATATTACGTAATATTATATATTTTATACTGGCACCTACTTCACATTATGTATTACTAAACATTTTAACTACATTGTGGATACAATTTAGAAAAAAAAAAAAAAAGGTATTTTCGGGTAATAAATAATCGCCTATTTTAATTCACAAACTTTTTAGTACTGTAGAAAACCGAGTTAGATATTAAATTATCTTAAAATTATATAATGCTGTTAGAATACATAGTTGGTGATTTGTGCTTAACAGTACGCTATACAGTGTAATATAATACTGCAATAATATCTAGTTCATAAAATAACTAAAAAAAAGTTCTGTTTAATGAAATCAAAGTAATTTTTTTTGATAATAGAATATTATATATGTATATATATATATATATATATATATATTTTGGCTTATCTCAGTATACCTAAATATGCTTTTACCTATCGAAAATGCGTTACTAAAACCTATGCTATTAATGCTATTGTATCGAAATAACATCACAATATAGAAAGAATGAATTTGTGTTAATTATAATTTATCAGTATATTCAACGCCATAAAATATACGACTATTATTAGATGTATTATTTGTTATATTAATTCAGTAGTTATGTATTGAATTTTATACATATTGATTTTAGAATTTTCCATAGCCCCGAATGTTAAAATAAATTCGAATACGATTTACGACTAATACGTTGGTTTCGTTAAATTTCCATTCATAAACAATTGAAATCAATCAAATAATATTGCGATTCAATTTCAAAATTAATTTTACGGGGAGCTATTTGAAATTGCTGCATATTAACAGTCAAATACAAATTAACAAGGTCTAAAATGTTCGTTGGCGTTGAATATCATCCTAATGAATAATTATGCAATTCAAACGAATATCTTAACGTTTATAATCGACATTATTTTCAGAACCCAGAAAAGCTATGCCGAATTTCAAAACAGACGAACCGGTCTGCCCAAAGGACCAATTACAATGTGGCAACGGTGAATGTATCAACAAGGAACTATTTTGTAATGACAGACCGGACTGCAAGGACGAGTCTGATGAAAACGCGTGCAGTAAGTGCTATCGATTGCAATTATGCCACTGTAGCGCTGTCACGTGATCGATTATCTTTAACAGAATATTATGCTTTGTGATTTATACAGGCGTAGAAACTGACCCGAATCGTGCTCCTGACTGTGACCCAAACCAATGCGTGCTACCCGATTGCTTTTGTTCGGCTGACGGCACTAGAATACCTGGTGGATTGGAACCGAGCCAAGTAAATATTATTCGTAAAATACGTTCTTATACCTATAACTACTTAAGTCAACTCAGAATTTTTTCTTTATATACTTACAACCTGCATTTCAGAAGTAATCTAGTCTAACATGAGCGACTGCTTAAAAAAATTTTCATAAGAAATTAATTTCCATAAAAAAAAAAAAAATAAAAACACTTCACAAATCTGTTAACAAATTCGATTTTCATGGCAAATGTTAAATTCCATTTGAATAGGTACCTCAATTGATTACGATTACCTTCAATGGTGCCGTCAATGTGGATAACATGGATTTGTACGAGGAAATTTTCAACAACTCATTGAGCAACCGCTTAAACCCCAATGGTTGTTCCATAAAAGGCACGTTTTTCGTGTCACACAAATACACTAATTACGCTTTCGTTCAAGAACTACACCGTAAAGGACACGAAATCGCTGTATTTTCATTAACTCATAAAGACGACCCAAAATATTGGACAGGTGGTTCCTATGACGACTGGTTAGCCGAAATGGCCGGAGCTAGACTTATCACAGAAAGGTAAATTAGAAATCATTTTCAAGCAACAAAATTACAAATTACAAATCTCTATTAATTTTTTAACAGGTTCGCAAATATTTCTGACGGTTCAATCGTAGGTATTCGAGCACCTTATCTAAGAGTAGGCGGAAATAAACAGTTCCAGATGATGGAACATCAGTTCTTCGTGTATGACGCTTCTATTACGGCATCTCTGGGTCGTGTACCTATTTGGCCATACACTTTGTTCTTCAGAATGCCACACAAATGTAATGGTAATGCTCAAAACTGTCCTAGCCGAAGCCATCCGGTATGGGAGATGGTCATGAATGAACTGGACAGGCGTGATGATCCAACTTTTGACGAATCTCTACCAGGTTAATGATCACAATGAATTTTTTTTTTTTTTGCATATTTTATTAAACATTTATACATATTTTAACTTCTATATTTAGGTTGTCATATGGTTGATTCCTGTTCTAACATCCAAACCGGCGAACAGTTTGGCCGCTTACTAAGACATAACTTTAACCGACACTTCTCTACCAACCGTGCTCCATTAGGATTACACTTCCATGCATCATGGCTTAAGAGCAAAAAAGAATTCAAAGATGAACTAATCAAGTTTATCGAAGAAATGTTGAAAAGGAATGATGTATATTTTGTCAACATGTTACAAGTAAGTAATTACTAATAATTATAATCAAATAAGTAATAACTTTATATGTATTACTCAGATGACCAGAACTAATAATTTACTCAAACAAAAACTAAATTAAACAAATTAAATATAAAATTGACAATATTGTATAGTATATTAAAAATATCCTTCTTCTAGGTTATTCAATGGATGCAAACACCAACTGAATTGGACAACATGAGAGATTTCACGGAATGGAAGGACGAAAACAGTAAATGTGATGTTAAGGGACAACCCTTCTGTTCGCTGTCAAATCCTTGCCCACTGACCACCAGAGAACTTCCAGGAGAGACAATCAGACTGTTTACTTGCATGGAATGCCCTAACTATTACCCATGGATTTTAGATCCTACTGGTGATGGATTTTCCACGAGGAGAAGACGAAATGTCCACTTAAACTTTAAAAACAAAAACAAGTATATCTAGTCACAATTTAAATTTAATATCAGTTAAATTTGAATTTTAAAGACATCGCATAAATTGTGGTTATTTTATTTCGTGTTGTTTTTATGTATTCGATGAAAATATTAAATACAATTATTAAGTACAATATTATCGTAAGTTTACTTAAATTATTTTGTTTATTTTTTTTTTTTTTATTTTTTTTTTTTTTTACATTATAATAATGATATTTTAAGTATGTATTTTTTATGTTTAAAATATAATATGAATGACTTCATTTACCTAATTAAAATTAATATATTTTTATATGTTAAAATTCAAGATAAAAATATACTCTACACCCTGATTTTGGTAGGTATAGTTACATCAAAACAAATTTATGAATTATATTACCCTCTTTATATACTTTATTGTATAATTGTATTAGATTTAAAATTGTCAATAAATAATACATTTTATTTCACTTTAGTAAACTGGAAATAATATTATCGATATTTTAAAGTAAAATTATTCACATTGTAATTAAAATTATAATGCCTACCTCACTATTCCTGTTGGCAATTATTGTACTAGATAAAGACAGTATTCTAAACAAACTAAATTCAAAAGTTAAAATTTTGAAACCAAGAGTAGATCTACGGTATACACTCTACACACTATTGATGTACATCTTTAATATACCTATATATTGAACACTATATAGGTACCACAAAATATAAGATTTAAATAAACACAAATGAGATTTAGCTATACAGCAATGACGGAGAATTACATAAGGCTACGAATAATGAATAAAGTTTTGGTTACCACGAGTGTCTAAATAGTTTGGACTTTGAAATAGTTTACACGTCTTAGTCAGAAATGGAACAAGCAGAGAGGTAAGGACAAAACTAGGGTGACCGTAAATGTACCCACACTCAGCGCATCCGAGTTGGGTCCCGAGTTCAAAAATGTACTCTAGTTGGGTACCGGGTTAATGCGGGTACTATACTAATTGGGTCCCGAGTTAGACCCCAAAATTTCCATAGGTTGTACACTAGTTCGGTATCGAGTTAATAGTGAGTATATTAGAAGTTCTAAAAAATACTCGAGTAGACACAACAAAATGAAAATTACGGGAAAAAAAATCTACGGGAATGTTTATACATAAAAAAAACAATTTATAAAGGAGAAATGACTGAAAAAAAACTTTGACTCTGTCAAAACGCTCTCTTATAAATTTTTACCTTATTACATTTAATACATAAGTATTAAATGAAATTAAATAACACATTTTTAAATATGTTTTTATATATTATATTAAATTAGTATTAATTGAACGACCTTCTGAATGTTTTCCAAAATATTAATTCATCTGACAAAAAAAAAAGTGTTTTAATCATATACTTATTTTATTTCAAATTGTTAATCACTGACAGTTCTAAGTCTGAAAAAATGAAAAGGAACCGTTTGGACCCAACTAGCATACTACCTATCAAAACCACTTGGATCCGGGACCCGAGTGGCTCCCATACTAGTGCGACGAGTACCTGATGTGGTGCAGAAGGCAGACTGGTACACTCATCGAATCACATTCACACTGATATTCACTTGCTTCTCACACACCGATATAACTCGTTTATACCTGTCGAATGAATTGCCTATTTCTTACTTCTTAGAATCGATCATGCTGCAGCATCGATTAGGCCTCGATAGTAACCTTTTCCTTATCAAAGACTACTGTTTCTAATTCAAACGATACGAGGCGAAAATTATCTTGATTTTCGTTTTAAAAAATTATTCGGATTATCCATAAAATGTGCGAGAAAACGGCCGGGTTACAATTTTTATTTTTATTATTTGAAATGCAATAAATATAGTCTTTGTTTTCAAAAGTTTGCAAAATTTCAAACTTAATTATTTAATCAATTAAATACAATTTAAAAATCTGCCTCGGCCGATATCTCGTTCATGTAGTGAATAATTAGAATATTTTGTCAGAATTCAAATAGATGCAACGTATTGTTGGAATTAAAATCGTCGATTTGAGTGAAAAATAAAACTTTTTTCGTAATAATGAAATAATTGTCATCTGATATGGCATGCGAGTTCGTACAAGAGACCCCGTATATCCACACACGCCGTGCGTCGTATTTATAATTATTGTTGCCACGTTCTTAAAACAAAAATCAGAAACGATCCCATATATGACTTAGTACGTTTATAATTATAAAAAAAAATGTATACTGTTTATGGTACAAACATAATTATGTAACCGCAAATTAGGTTATAGTGATAGCAGACGGTGCCTGGTCTAAAAGATCATACAAGAGTGGTTTTAATGCTTTGTCTGGTGTAGTAAATGTTTTGTTTTGCTTTCATTAATTATTTGTCAGCTATTTTTATTTTAAATGTTTTTTTATAACTTGAATAGGCCTCAATAAAAGGTTAAAATACAAAAAAAGGACTTTACATAGGAGATTCCAGATAATATAAATCAATAAATAAGCAATAATAGTTGTTACGTTATATTATATAGGTATGTAAACATCAAAATGTGAAGATATGACATAATATTATTTTGTTGTTTAAAAAAGTTTACATTATACTAATGCAGACGACGCAGTGTAAAAAAAAAAACAGAACAGTACAATTATACACTCACACACACACACACACTATGTTTTTTGAACATTCGGTATAAACGTATACTTTTTTATATATTATAACTTGTCAAACTTTTGTCAAATTTTGATGCATTTCTGTGCGGTCAAACCAATTTTATCGACATAAAACCAAAAAAAACTAAAAAAAACTCGAAAGTTTAAAATGCCCATAAATAGTAAATGTGTTATGAAAATTATACCAGTTATGTGTAGCTGTAGCGGCCGACACGACGGTGTAATGTACGATAACGACACGAAACACGACAAAACCAATTCTGCTATGGTGGTGCCATAGGCGGTGTGTAGGTAAACAGATTCACACTCACACTAATGATCACTTATTACGCACACGTGCATTGTATATTATCTAAATTGAACCCCTTAAATAATCGTCGTCATTCTCAATTCACAATTATTATAAATATCATACAAGTACGGTATGCTACTTAGTAACTAACATTATTATTATATTATACATTTTAATAGGTAGGCTTAATTACTAACTTTTATTTTCGTTTCGATATTTTATTAAAACTTATGATTTATACAAAAATATGCCTAATCCTGTAAAAAAAATCCTGAACACGTCAATGGAATACCAACTAAGTTTTATTACAAGTGTGAAAAACCGGGATAAAACAGAGGAAATACGGGAAAATGTACGAAATGTGTTAATAATTACGGTATTTATTTTTTTTTTTTTCGTGATAACTTTTCTACCAGAAATTTTGCTCCGATTTACAATGATAGCACTTTTTCTAAAAGTAAATCTAACTGGGGAGATACTTAAAGGAGTTCAATTTTAATTTTTACAGAAGTTTTCCAATAGATGTGAAAAACCGAGAAAAAACATATGAAAACGGGAAAATGGATACCCGCAATATTAAACAAATACGGTTAGAGAAAATATATAATGCTAATTTAATTATTTTACCATAATATGACATATATATGGTTGACAAAGCAACACAATCAACTGAACTCCACTCAGAATCGTTTCTCGTTAGCAATGATTTATCGTTATTTACAAATGTACATTAAATTTTCCTCTACTACCTTACCGATTTCTCACCGACAACAGTAGCCCAACCACGTGTGAAGTTGCCGGCTTTTTATTTACCAAACCCAAAAACTATACTTCAACATCATATTTATAACGTCATTATTAGTAATACATCCGAGTTTACATAAAATTGTTGGCACTTATGGCGGGGGATTTGTCCAATTTTGAAAAATTTAAAATAATTTTTAACCTTTCAACTACTTTCTTAAAGATAACATTTTAATAAGTGTTTATTTCATCATATATTTTTGTGTTTAACATATTTAATTTTATTAATTGGTATTTAAAAAAAATGTATAGAAAATGTTTTTTTAAATAATATTTATTTGGTTTGTTTAATCATTTTTTATTGCATATAAATCCTAGCCTTAATTATCATTAACTAGATCAGCGGTTCTCAAACTTTTCATATCCACGTACCATTTACACTTTTTGAAATATTCACAGTTTTGGTTTGGATGATGGGTTTCTCCATTAATTCTATCTATTGAGTAAACGTTATTTGAGTTAATTCTAAATATTTTTTTTTAGTTATAATTTTTTTATTATATCACTAACAAGTAAAAACCATTTATTTTTTCCAACAAAAGACTGATGAGGATTTTGCAGGAAGTGGCATTATTAATGAATATGTGGCTAATAATCACATTCCTGTAGAGATCATTAATGACTTAGGCAATGTTGAACTAAGTATATAAATTATGCATTAAAGTTATAATTGATATTATTTTTTTAAAATTGATTATTTAAATATTTTTTAACTAACAAGTAAATCAAATTTTAAATATTATCAAACGTATAATTTTTGTTTAGGACATTATAATTTGTTAATAATTCCTGTTTTTTAAATATCTGCAAAAACAAATGCTAAAAGACCCAAACTAGATCAGTATACTAAATTGTTCAAAGGTTCTAATGATGGGTTTGTTGTAAGTATACTTAATCTGATACTTAATGTATATAATGTACATATTTAATAATACAATAGACGATTGTGTCATTTATCAATAGATTAGCTATTGCTGTTTAAAATTCTGGTCATAATATAACTGATGGTTTGATAAGAACAAAACAAAATTTAAAATCTAGGAAAATATATTAGAAAGGTTATTTGTGAATAATATTGATATTTCTGGAAAAAGCAGAAACGCTAAATTTAATAACCTAACGTTAACATTCAATTAGCAAATAAATCTGGGGAAGGTGACATAAACTGGGAGTATTGCAATGAAGAAATATTTTGAAAAGAAAGACTGTGAAACGATAAAAAAATAACATTATTTGAATGTAGATAAATCAATTTTAAAATACCAATAATAACGATGATAAACATAGGTACTGTACTACTGTGCCCAATGTGCGACCAATTACAATTTTTGATAACTGACAGGTGTCCTATGCGCTACTGTTTTGGGGTAATTCACAATACAGACAAATTTTCAATTTCATAAAAATAATTTTAATTTAAACCAAATAACAACAGAAAATAAAAACAAAATTATTGATTTAATAGTATATTATAATACATACATACAAAACAATAAAAAGGAGCTGTATATGGTCACTGTAGTAATTTGTAGATGGATAATGGGAAGGTGGTATACATGAAGTTATTAAATTTATACCTGTAACCAATGATAAACCATTGATAACAGAAAACGATTTGGTTATACTTATTTTGAAAAGCCATAATATTTACGATTTTCCTCAAAATTTGATTTTAACGTTTATAAAAACTAAATTTTTGTTTTTGTCCACTTAGTATAACTTAGTACTTAACATAATGAACCCTATCAAATTTTTAAAAAAAAAAATTTACCACGTCCAGAAAAAGTAAATATAAATTTTCTTTAAACATTTTAAGTTTTTAAAAATATTTTAAACAAAATTAAAATAACAATAATAACAACAAGGGGTATAAGTGTCATTTTTGAAAAATCTGAGCACAGTTGAACTAAAAATATTCCATTTTATTTTGTGTTAAAGAAATATAAGAAAATTATTCGTTGTGTGCTATATAATTAAATTCTAGATTTCACTAAAATAGTCTGAAAATGTCATTACATATTAGAACTTTGAAGTAAATAATTATAACTTGTAACAAGTGGTTGGACAAGGTTCCACAACATCTATACATACAATTAGGTCCCTTTACTGCCAAGTGGTTAAACATTTTTTATCATTCAAATATTATGTATTTATTTATTGAATAGAATTCCAATTACAACAATATTACATAAAACTAAATTATCTTTACAACTAAAAAAAGTTGGTCACCTCCAAGCTAATGGATGTGCAGAGAGGTTTAATACAATAATTCAATTTCTAATGTATACATGAAATTTAATTTACATTCAAAGAGATGATTGATCATAACTATAATAAAGCAAATTAATAAAATGTATACAATAAAAATCTTCACAATAATTTCAACTAAATCCTATTATTTATACTAAACACTATGTTTACTATTTATTTACTATAATATCTACAACAGGTTGCTTAAAATTAATGGAATTCTAAAAGTCTTGAAGATTAATTTTAAATTTAATACAGAAATTTACAAAAACCTAATATGGTCCTAATTGTTCAAAAGCCGTTCTTAATTTAAAATTAATTAAATTAATATTTTTTCTAAATCTTGTATTCTGACTATGTATCTTTGTTAAAATAATAGTATTTTTATATTTAAATATTAGTGTACAAACAAATAATAAATGAATATTGGTAAGACTAAACATTTTTAATTCTTTATATAGTCGAATGGTAGAGTGAAACCATGACTTTTTGAATAAGAACTTAATTAATGAGTTTAATATGGTCTCTAATTTAATAGTATGGGTTTTAAAGCTGAACTCCAGATAGCAATGCCATACAATATTATGTATTGAAATTAATGCTTTGTATACTATAATTTTAAGTTTATCACTTAAAATATTTTTAAAGACACAAACAAGTTTCATTAATTTACTAGTTGGTTTATCAATATGTATATTTCACTTAAGATACAAGCCTAAATATTTGACTAAGTTTACCTTTTAATAGAAGAGGAACAACAATGTCTAGTACTAAGTGTACAGAAATTATCATGTAACATAAATTTATTAAAATTAATCTGAAGAGAATTATTATCTAACCAGGATTTAACATTTTTAGTCCAACATTTATTTTTTCCTCAATACTATTTAAACAGTCATTAATAAATATAACAGCTGTATCATTTGCAAAACATAATATTTTTCTAGTTTTGTTTAAAAAGTTTATTGATGTTAAGAGTAAACAGTAACCATTCAATAACTATTTGTAAAATATGACTTGAAAAAGCTTAGTTTAAAAACTCAGTAGTATTATAGTTTTTTGATAAGATATCATGGTCAACAGAATTAAACACCAACTACTTGTTTTTTTTTTTTGCATTTTATTGATCTGATAACAAATTAGTCAATGACCTTTTATAGAAAGTGGAGTATTCTTTACATTGACTAATAAGGTAACTTATTTGACCAGGTTCAATTGGCTTAAAATAAATAGTTGGTAATATAACAATTATAGTTGAGTTCATTCCATTTTCTTAGTTAAAAATCACTCATATAAATACTATTAGTAATATCAGCTCCCACATAAGTAAAAAATGTATTCAAGATGTTAGCAACTTTATATTTGTCTGAGGTTATGTTATCATATTCACTAAGTATTTCATTTACTGTTGTTTTTTTATTTGTTTTTGTGTTACATGTTTCTTTAATATATTTTTATATATTTTTTTTAAAATTTGTATTAGCTTTATTCATTTTATTACAATAATACAAATTTTTGGCAAGTTTATTAATTTATTCAATGTATTTCTACATAATGATTTCTTAGGCTAACATTACATGGTTGTTTAAGGGTTTTATTACACATTTTTCCAATTATTTTTATTGAGGTAACAAGACTAGTTGAAATCCAATGTTTTAATTTACAATATTTTTTAGTATTTTAGTTACATTGGATTTTATTGGAAGATAAATTGATTAATTCATTCATTTTATCATTAAAGAAGAAATTAACAGAATGTGTAACATTTTTACCTTCAAAAAATAAACTCCATTTCTCTATTTTTATTAATAAATTTAAGTGTGGGTAATTAACTCTAACATATTTTTTGTTCATTTCATTTTTATCACATTTATTTTCTGGAAAATGAGGACACGTGACTGCTGCCAGAAAATGTATGTTCATATGTTTTGTGTGCTAAAATCTGTGTGAAATCCATATTGCATTCTTTGTACATGTACTCAAATTCATTGCTTTCAGAATCAGTATCAGGTAGGTTGTTTGTTGGTAGTGGATGGAGTAGAAATTTTAGATTCTATCACTCATGGATGCTATTAAAAAATAATTAAATTATATAAACAAAATATTTATGCATAGGAAAAAAAAAATAGAAACTTACTTTTTTCCATTTGAATGGAATTGAAATGCCAGCTTGTATCCTGCTCGTTAGAAATCTCTCTAATTCCTCTCAGATTCAGTAAAATTCATGGTCACTGTATACAAAAAGTAATTATGTACCAAAAAAAAAGTAAAATCATCAGTATCAATAGTACATATAGATCAGAAAAATTCTAAATTATACATTTGATGTGATTTGAATTTGCATTCCTCATTATTCATTTGAATGGCTTTGAACTGCTGGCATGTAAGCTGGTGGTTTAAACAAGCATTAAATAAAAAGTACATGATCAAAATAATCATGTAAAATTCAAAATAAAAAAAACAAAATTGTATAAATAGTTAATTATTTTACAAAATGTATTATTGTACAGAATGATAACTAATTGCCTACACTATTAATATTAAATTTTACAGTTGATACTATTAATTGAACAGAAAAATATGAAAAAAAAAAAAAACAATAATAATATATTACCTAGTATATTTAATTATAGATATCCTTGTATGGTACCATAAGGTTGTGAAGAAATGGAAAAGCAGAATCTCTAAGTATATGAAAGTAAGTTCTTAAATAACAAATTCCCCAATATAAAATTTATATTTTATTTTTATTAAATATAGAGGATAACCCTTTTGAACAAAAGATATATATATATATATACATACATTATATATGTACACATTAATTTCGACAATTTACTTAAAGCTTAATACTTACTACTTATTACTACTTAACTAGACAGGTATTATACATCAATACAACCAATAGTATCTGGCATATAATTAGGTCCTTAAGTTTTTGAAATTCTGAATAATTCCTAGGTAAAATAAAATAAATACAGTTGTACAGGAAACTTATATTTGTTATTTTTAGACGAGTTAAGATTTTCAAAATATTGTAGTTATTTTTGAGCCATTCATAAACATTTTAATTTTTCGGATTTTTTTGTTAATTAATTTGTTTTCTGTAGCCTGTAGGTATTCTTTGGATAAAATAGGTAAACTAAAAAACCAAAAAAAAAATTGAGTAATGCAGAATTTTTTTTTTTTTTTTAATATCAAAGTTTGACGAAAATCGTTTTAGTGAAAGATTTTGTAGATGTTTTATAATGTATGACTATTATGAAATACATCTAAGTAAAAATAACTATTATGTAATTATTTTACCATAATATGTTGTATATATTGTTGACAATGCAACATTATTAAACAAACTATGCTCAGGATCGTTTTTTGTTATCAATGGTTAATCGTTGCGTACAGATATACATTAAATTTTCCCTCTAACTTTTCAACTTCTAACCTTCAACAGTGAACCCTCCACGTGGTGAAGTATATCCGTCTTTTTCAATTTTCAGTTTTATGTACACTTGAGTGATTAACAAATTATAATTAATTTTAAAGGAATGTTGAACACATCAAAATTCAACATTCAGTCAAAGACGAACTCGCATAAAAACAGTATTTTACAAACAAAAAATGAAATAAATTATGGTACAATTAAAAAAAAAAAAAAATTCTAACAATGGTTCTAATTTGTACAAACTAGATATTACAAGCAATACAAAATGCCATGTTTTTATCAATTAGGTAGCTACATGTGAAGCTTTTAAGCTCTGAGTAAGGTAAACATTATTGCCACATATCCATTATAGTACCTACATGAAATATTTAATATTTGCATCAATACTATACGTTGAAAAATACAAATATTGATATAAAATATACAATATATATTATATAAGTATATAAGTATATAGTATATAGTATATAATTTTATTTATAAGTATATACAATTTTAAACTTTCAAAGTAAGTTTGAGAACCTCTGATTGTCATGTTAAATTGAGACCTGCGCAGAATTCAATGTTCTGTCGATCAATAATCTTCATAGCAACCATGCGCAACACCTTAATAAAATATATGCGCAATACTACTGTACTCGTATAGTGTAGGCGTAAAGAATTGATACTTATTATATTGTGACCGAGTGTTTGTTCGTATATTCGCTAACAAATTCACTGTTTGGCAAACTCTATAAATATCTTTCAAATTGACAAAAAGAATACAAGAATATTAATATTTCGGAAGTTAAGTCATTATAGGTGACATTAATAATGGATTTGTAAGTATCTTGATGGATATCAGTGCGTCAAAATTCTTTAATGTTCATAAGTGTTTTTACTGATTTATAGGTTCAACAAAATATTTAGTTCCACTCGAAAGACTGAAGAGACAGCCAAAAGTAACAAGAAGTTAAACATTCGTGGTTCAATGATCCCAGAGGCTAAGCCTTTATTGATGAGTACTGATCGGCCACTACAAATTGTAATAAGTTTTAAACATATTATAAATTTAGTCGATGGGGTATATACAATTTTTTTTTGATGGGGGTGTTTATATTTAGCGTACAAGGTCTCAAGAACCAGTCAAAAGTAATAAGAAGCCAGAGATTCCTAGTTCAGTAAATCGAGTACTTAGGCCTATATTGATGTGTGATGATCGACCACTACAAACTGTAATGTTTTTTTAAATATAAACTTACTGTATGAATGGTGTAGATACAATTTCCTTCTATGAGGGAGGACGGGTTATATGTATTATTTAGTGTATAGAGTGATCAATCTTCTATAAGACTCATTTTGTCTTCTTAATTTGTTATAATTTTACTTTTGAATGACTTAATGAAACTATAATATATAGGTATCTATACTATAGGTACTATACTTTTATCAACACATTTTGTTGTTGATTTCATATTCTACAATATAATATTTTTCAAAAAAATTGATGTATTTGTTAATCTTAACTTTAAATGATTATAATATATCTTATAAACTATTGGACGAATATTTAATATTAACTAGTCAATTTTTCCAGGCAAATATTATAATTTTATAAAATTAATTAAAGACAAAAATATAATTCAAAAAAATAAAAATCTAAAAATTCCCGAAGATAAAAACTATAACAAAATAAATTTATTATCAAAAATTAAAAATATAGTATTATAATAATTAAAAATATTTATGAAAGTATACTTGTATTAAAAATTATACAGTATTATTATTAGTAGTATAAGTTTATTTGGCATTTATTTATTTTAAAAAATAAAATCCATTTTCCTTTTATTATTTCTTAATTCGTGTGGATTATTTTTAATTATTTGATAAATCATATCATTATTTTGGATTTTTATTAATTTTAACTCGTTCTTTTACTATAATATATATTATATATTTTTAATCAAACATTTTTTGAGGAGTTTTGGTGGTTAAACCCTTCACTATCCTATCTAACCTCCGAACTATGTAGGCAACTAGAATGAATATTAATTAATATTTTTATTTTAATTTATGTTGTGGTGATGTGTATGAAAAACAGATATTTAAGGCCCTCAAATTGCATATGGATAATCCAAAAACACTCAAGAACCTTTTAGAGCGTCTTACCAATTTGCTGAGTAATTATCAGTATAGAAATGACTTACTTGATCAAGCCAGAAAGATTGTTTTAAAAGTGATTACAAAACACCTAGAGATCATTAAAGTTGAAATTGCTGCGATGTCAGTTTTCACTAATCCTTTAACCATTAGAAATTGTAAAATTTGTATTTAACATTTTTTTAGTGCTGCTCTTTTTTATATTGTAAAATACGAAAGCCAGTCATTATTACTAGAAGATGTTATCAAAAAACGCATTATTACTGGAATAATAACTTTGATATTATATCACGAATATGATGCAAGAATTTTGACTTGGGCTTTTCTTAGTTTGGATCAATTGGTGCTTAGATGGGGATTTGAAAAACATCATCAGTATGTGGTTAGTATAAATATACAACACATTTTGTTTGGTTATAACTTCTTTTTTGTATATTTTATTAATAATTAAAGAAATATTATATATTATTAGTATATTGGATATATATTGCAAACATTTTGTTTAAATGTCATAATAAATACTAAATTAATAATAAATTTGATCGTAATTAAATAATAACCTAATTTAACCTAACTGTGTATTTCTAAATAGTAACTTTTAACATGACACTTAAAATCTACATGTAATTTATTAAACCTAGAATTTTGATTTAGTATAATAACATTCCTTTTTTAAAATGTTAAACTTTATGGTTCAAAATGTCACATTTGGCTCATGAAGTCAATATATTAACATAACATTAATTTTTTATTTTTCATTCTTTTCATTATATTTCTAATTTTCTACTTAATGATAAAATTGCTTTATATGATTAAACAATTATTAATTGAAGTTTATTTAAATTTATATTAAAAGTTTTATAAATTTAAAATATAAACCAATACATTTGAATTGATATTTTTTAATTGAACTTCAATAATGATTTGTTAAACAAAATTTAAGATGTACTAATATCTAATGTATAAATTATTAAATTGACTAAAAAATAAAAATATAATATAAAACTAAGTTATTTTACATGGGCAATTTAATAAAATTTGTATTTTTAGATGTTTCTGTATGATTATTTTGTTCAAATATCACTTTTTATCATATCTGCGAATAATCAAGACTACACTTTGCAAATTGCTTGTGTTATAATTAACTGGTGTGCACTTGGTGGGAACAAAAAACAAAGAATTGATCTTGGGAAGGCTGGTATTATAAAGGTAAAAAAATGAATAGTTTGAAAAAGTCAAACTTAAACATAACAATTAACCTATTTTTACTTGATTAAAATTAACCGGATATTTATTTTATAATTTTAGTTATAAGTCTAATTTCATTATTTGTATTTAAAAATAAAACTAAAATTACATTACAAACTATCATATACAATATTATATATAGGCTTTTTTTTGCTAATATATTCCACATTTATCTAATTTATCTTTGTTTTTTTTTTTTAATTCACTGATCTAATCTAATCTAATATTGACTTTTCATTTTGAGAAGGTATTTTATTGTAAATCAGTTTGTCGTTTTTTTTGAACTATAATATTCTTATATCTGGAATTAATATATATAATATTATGTTTGTATAGAAATTGATTGTAATAATTAAAACTCGGATTCGTCAAAATACATTTGAACAGGTTGATCTAGCCTTTGAAACAATTAATCATTTAACAAATGATTTGCAAGAAAATTGTAAAAAGTTCCTTGATCAAAAGGGATTACATTATATGTTTGAATGCCTAAGGGTAAAAATAATAATAGCAGATAATCATATGAATAAAATATAACTCATGATTTTGATAACTTTTTAGACTTATCCAAATGAAATTTTAATGAAACGAAATATGTATTGTGTATTGAGAAATATTGCTGAAATTAAAGAACTTAGAGGAAGGCTAATGAAAAATCATTTAATTGAAGTTTTATTTGATAATTTGCGTTTAACAGGAGATGAAATTCAGGTAATTAACAATTATTGCATTTGATATTGTATTACTTATACAAAGTTTTTTTTTTATGTACAGATTCGTTATTATGCTGCTGAAATCATTGTTCATTTGGCTTCAGATGGCCATAAAGCATGGATTATACAATCTCCTACAAGATGTGAAGTATTAGATCATATGACACGGGCTTTGCAGAGCTGGAATCTAGATGCCATTCTAGACATAAGATATCGGTCTGTAAAAACACTATTGAAGATAGCCCAAATTAGTCATACACCAGTATNTGTCCAATGGGCAGCATGGACTTTAGCAAATCTTACCAGAGTATATCGTTAGTATAATGTTTTATATTATTTATTTTCATGTATTTTTAAATTGAATGGTTTGTACATATAATTCTGGATTTTAATTACCTATAATGTTATTGGTTTTAGCTGAAAAGTATTGTGCAACTGTAATAACTGAAGATGGTATAAATATAATGAGTCAAATACTCGAAGAAAATTATCAGATTGGTCAGCCGGAGGTAATCCATAACCTATCTCAAACTGTCATCAATCAATGTATGAGTTTTGAGGAAAACATCACAGAATAAGTCTCTGCTTTCTCTGTCTTCTCAAATCTTTGAACTCTAATTAACTTTTTATTACTATGTCCTTAAGAATTTAATATTCCACCTCGATCTCCCTCTAATTAAATGTGTGTGACATATCATATTATTCCTTTTGTACTGCCAATGTTTAATTCTACCTTTAATTAAACCTTCTATTGAAACAAAGGAATATGATAAACTAATTTATATATAATATAGTATCAAACATTTAGGCAATACCCATTTAAATACAATAAATAACTCAATAATAACTTTGTTTGTGAAATTTAATTATTACTATGTTTTGATTATTTTCTTGTTATATGTAAACTATTTAGATTATCACATATAATATTATATTAGTATATATTAATTGTTATAACTTATGTTACTATTGCTATTTAAGTGTGTATTTATAATATATATATATATGTATTTAATATTATTATTTACTATTTAGTTATTTTATTATGATATAATTATCATAAAATAATTAGTTTTGATCCATTGGTGACTTAATCATATAGATGGAATCATTTTATTTTATTGCTAAATTAAAACTAAATCAAAGGTTCTTGTAGATGGGTTCTATAATTCTTTCAGTTAGAAATTAATGATGGTATTATTTATATTATTTTTGGTGATCTACTCAAGTTTAAGTAAGAGTCAATAATTTTCAACTGTTTTATGTCAAATGAATCTTTTTTTTTTTTTTTTTTTTGTTTCTATAATTTGATTGAATTTTAGGGGAGACTAATATTGTTCCATACAAAATAAAATTAATAGTGTCTTCACTCACATTTATAGTTTTACTTTCAATGCATTAATAAAATACACACCTTTATATTAAATATTAATATCCTATATCATAATTCTTTATAATAAATAATACTTTTATTATATTATAATTTAATATTTATGTACCAATGTACATAGTATGTACAATTACATACTATATAACTATATTATATTATATTAATTTTAATGCAATATACCATTTTTTTTCTTAGAAAAATTATAAATAACACTATTAATATTGTAGTAGATCCAAGTGATAATAATAATGTATTTTGTATAAATTAGTTACAATTAATCAAATGAATTATACAAATTATATTCCTTGATTTTATATTATGATAGTTTACAGTATATTATAATAGGTATACTAAATTATCAAAAATTGTATAAGCTGGTAGCTAAGCTTAATGGTAACAACATATCATTATCACACATCTTCAGTCTTCATCTTATACAATTGTTAATGATGGAATTTTTAAAATTATTTTCAATTGTCATTCTGGTTTGATAATCTGGGTAAATGACCCGGGGGAGAAGTTTTTTTGTTGTAATAAGTCTTTGTCTTAAATTGATTAAAATACAAATATATCTGTATGGATAAAATAAAATGTAGCTTTTTAATTTTTTAAAAACCTTTGTAGTCATACAAATACATTTATTCAGATATAATTTTAATTTCCTTGAAATGTATTATAATAAGGAATAAATTTAAAGTAAATTTGTTTAAATATTTCTTATGCAGATGAATGTATAACCGAAATCAAAGATAAATGGATGCAATTTGTATAAGTATATTTTATTAAATAGTAAAAATATTCAAATACTGTTAATTTCCAGCGACAGATAGCTCCAAACTTGTCTGAAAAATCGTTTTCGGTGACCCGAATTTATATCCTTAAATACATATATACATTTATAGATATAGTCTCTTACATACAGCTCTTTTCAAACATGGTACTTTTTATCCTTCACTACGTCCCATGCATTTCACTTCAAACAAATAATAAAGGTACGCTTACATTTCTGAAAAATTAGTTGAGGTATACCTATCTATTTATCTATGATTTCGACTAAACTCGGGCCCTCTAATGAGGCTATGTGCAACTATATAGCTTACACCGCCTGCTGGCCCTGGTGTTATGTACTTATATAATATAGAAATATCTTAGTCCATTCCTTTTATCTCCTTATCAGTCTGTATTATTTGATATGGTTTAGTAAGTAGATAATAACTATGATCACAGATAACTTTTAACTTTTCAAATTATCATAATATAATATAATTTTAAGGGTTGTAACACATATTTTGACATTATTTTATTTACTAGTTTACAATTAAAATATCCTAAAATGGACTCAGAATTTTTAATTTCTCTCCAAGTTATTAAAGTAAATATTACAAATTTATTGTCATGCAATTGTATAAAATATTAATAATAATTTTTAACCTTAATGCAAATTATTTTTGTTTTAATATGGTTTACCATTATGTAAACTTTTGCAAAAAGACAATCTTGACTTAAAAGAAACAGTGCCTCTTTAAACAATAATTGTTTAAAGAAGTTAAAGTAAAGATAATCAACGTTTAACTATCAAATTATACAATCTATCTGGTTTTGACTTTTCAATTAGCTCTTTCAGATTAATTTGTACTTGTGATTTTACTAAAGCAATGCAAACTGTAAAGTGTCTACAGTCTACAAAAGATTATTTACTAATTATCAGTCAGTAGTAAACATATTAATACTACAATAATTATTAATAATAGCATTTTTGATCTATTATTAAAATTGACAACAATTCAAATATTTTTGTTAATAATTTGCATTGAAGGTATACACACTTATAGAATCATTGACTAAAAATACTATGATCAATGATAACCATTATAATAATTAGTTGTATAATGTTAAAAAGACATAGTTAAAAACTTAGATAATACAATTTGGAATCATTTATATAATTCAATATTTTATGTTACAACTATATAATTATTATATAAATGGTAAATAATTAATCAATGTATTTAAAGTACGTTTAAAGAATCGATTTTTCGTAAGCAATGGTTTATCATTGCTTACAGGTATACATTAAATTAAGGTATAAATTAAATTACCTATAACAGTGGCTGTACCCGTACCCATCATCCTAAGACGTCTTTTTTTCATAATAAATCTTTTTTAATAAAATAAAAAATATGAAATATTCTTTTAAAAATATTAAGCATATAGCCTAAATAAAACAATTAAATATTTTACGTAATAATGGCGCTACTCATGCTGATATCAGTTTTGACAATTTTTATGGGTCTAGCAATATTTTCAAAATACTACAATTGTGATCCCGTTAAGTTCGTGTTATTATGTACATACAGTGCCGTAGCTAGGTATCTGTGCGCCCCGGTGCAAATTGGTCTATAGGGAGGCTTCTTAGTCACTATTAAGTCTCTACAAACATTTTAGTTTTGGTTCTTCATATAATCTCCAAGGTAAATAAATAAAACAAATGTAAAATATGCAGACTATTATCGTTTTTCACTGAGAAAGGTGATTTTTTTTTTAGGAACTTCTAGACTATTCTCATAGTCTATAACTATACCGGGAAATTCCTAAATACTTAATAAAAAGCCTCATCACAATCTGACGAACATCGGCAGATTATAAAAACAGATTGAAAAATGTTCTATTTTATGCATTAAATATTAAATAATAAAGCATACTCGCAAATTACTATATAAAATGTATACAATTTATACATAAAAATAAAATAAATTAATTAATGAATGCGTTGCCTGGAGTATTATGATAAGTGTACAATACACATTTTGTAATTATTTATTTATATATTAATTTACTATATTTATTTACTTAATTAAATAATAAACTGTGCAACTTTTCTGCCTTGTCGTTTTCTTTGCGTGTGTCATCAGATATTAATTATGTAGTCAATTTTTTATTACAGTAAACCAAGTTATCTACATTTTTAGGAAAATCTATATAAATAAATACGTATAACATACAATGTAATAATTTACTGAGTTGGGTATGAGTAAAATAAAAAAAAAAGAACTGATAATGGGGACGCGTGTGTCACTGTTGTAAGAAGCAAGTTTTGAAAGTACTAACAACGATACACCATTGCTAACGAAAAACGATTCAAAATGACGTAATATTTACAAATTTTGTTATAATCTGATTTCAAAAACTTACAAAAAAAAAAAAAACTCTACAATACTACATAACAATCGATTTTTTTTTTTACCACTAAGTTTAACTGATAATAAACTTCGTGTCAAATTTTAAATTATTTATGTTTAGTCTAACAATTGTATTCAAAGTGTACCTACCAAAATTAAAATTAGGTAAAAATCGGCAAAATTAAAATATATCTAAATAGCTTAAATATGGCTCGAACGATTTGAAAATTTTACGACGGTATATAAGGCAAATATGAGTTTTCCGTCAAAATTGCAAGAATTTACAAATATTTTCAAATTTATTACAATGAAAAAACCAAATTGAATATAATAAAATAATAATTTTTGTACAGTTTTCCGTTATTTCTACGTTTTATTTTATTTTATTGTCCAACTATTACAAAAACTACTCGGCTAGTCAAATATAAATTACAAAAAATTATCATATTTTTGTTTTTATTTATTTTAGTTTTTGCCAATTATTAAGAAAACTACTGAATATATCGAAAAATTACATTCTTCGTCAATAGCTCAATGTTTAAAAAAAAAAATAATGTATCTTGGCATATTTTAATTATACTATAATAATCAATCCTAATAATATGACAATTACACAATTTCTGAAACCCAAAAGAAATTATAATTTCAAAATTCAACTATAACAATGAGTATTGTGTATAAATTTTCACTATAGCTTTCAGATAACAATTTTAATATAATATTTATTTATTTGATATAGGTATCTATTTATTTTATTATTATGTAATAAACATATTAAATTTAGAAATTTAAATGTAAACAATGCATTATTTTTATATATTATAATATTAAATTAGTTTTCTTATGGTATGGTAGGGAGGTTCGATAAAGGGGTTACGTACGTATACGTATTTTAAAATGTTGGTATAGGTTAAAAATTAAAACACGGATAAAAGGCATCATATTATGACGACGTCATACTTTTTTTCTAGGGCGGAATCTCGGCTGGGGGTCGCCATCGAAACGAGAA